ATGTCATGTTTCCGCTTGCTCCCTACAACAGCAATCTCATAATGCTCTGCTATTTCGATCAACTGCGCCTTCTGGCAACCATCCAAGAAAGATACTGAGGGCGCATCCACAAACGCTGACAAAGAAGCCATAATATATTGCCTATACCCAATCAGAAAGCAAAGTACTCAACTGTCAACACGCCTGGGCGAAAAGACAAAACCCAACAGAGAATTCCCCCCTAACTGCCTTACCAAAATCTTCCTAATCTCACCTAGTCTTCATGTGGCTTGCGGCGGGTAATTACGCACTGGAACCCGGCGGATTTATGGAGCGACCTGCACGCAGGTAACACCAAGAAATCATGCGGATGTGCCCCCGAGACAGCTGTCCGAAAACAGCTGACACCAACCACGTCGCCACAACACTATGAAAAAAACAAACAGACGGAACCCAAGGGGAAACGCCACTTAAGCCTAGCGGGGAAAATCTCTTTTACAAAAGCGTAACAAACAGCAATATCTTACCTTCTGATTGGCACACAAAACCTGATGCCATGTCAAACACTAAAGCATCCTGAAACCCAAAAGACATGATGTGTCCCCCAAATAGCAGCGCAGAGCCAGCACACAGCTGGACCACAACAATGAATCAGCTGCTCAATGAGCACTACACAAACTTTTTAAATAAATAACCCGTTGGACGAGCCCCCATTTGTTGCGACCTGGCTCAAAAGGCCACAACAAAAAGGAGACGCAACATGTCAACGGGTAGGTAAAGGTGTTTATTTGCACAACACTGGTCAATTCAACACATTGGTTATACTCATCAGAGCCGGGTGCCTGCAGGAAAACAGAGCGAGACCAGACAGGAGCAGAGAGGCTTTAAAATAGCTGCAGAGCACCAGACCCAGGTGCCCTGAGTTAATGCAATCACTGCAATCAATGCAGCCAAGACAGGACAGCCACACCCTCTCCACTGATGAACCCACAGGGGCATCACACTATCCTATTGTGGCATAAACCGTTTTCTACAGGCACATTTTACCGGCGTATTTTTATAATGATTCTACTTGTGATAGTCGGACACGACAACCTGTGCAGCCCATGTATTGATTCCATCCGATAGCTGCTACAATACAAAACAACACGTCTGCCTCTCTCCACAATGATCAATAACAGTGAACGGATGGTCAAAGTAAGGTACAAATAAACATAATCACACGAAGCCTGGTTAGTGTTGCCTGACTTTATAAAGTGTGTTTATAAGCACTACTGCTTGTAGGCAGGCATGACAGTCGACCCATGTTCAGGGGAGGTGAGTTTAGTTTCCTGCACGCCTCGACGTAAGAGAGACGTAAGCGACGCCACCTCTTAGCTCCGAAGCTCTTGCCTCTAGACCAGGGGTGGCCAACCCGCGGCTCTTTGCCTAGTTTCATGCGGCTCTTCAGTTCATATCGAATTTTATATGTGTGAGTTTGGGGGAGAGACACTGACTCCTGACTAGTGTTGCACGGTGTACCGATACTTGAAAGGTACCGCGATACCCTGCCGTTAAAAACGTTACGATTCCTCCGTTTCATTAGTATCGGTACTTTAAGAATGACGGGGGAAAGTACTCCGGTGAGAAAGCGCCGTTTTAATAAGAGCCGTGTGTGTTCAGCGCTCTGCTTCCACTCCCTGCACTGCAGCCGTGCCTGCAGTCCCGCCCCTCTCAAGCACGCTCTAAGTCCCTCCCTCTCAAGCACGCTCTAAGTGCCTCCCCTCTCTCGTGCACGCGCTAGCTGCCAGAGCATGTGAGAAAACGAGAAGCATGGCTGCAAGTGGGAGTGCAACTGCCGCTGCGCCTCGGCTTGTTGACAAAAAAGACGCCAGAAGCGAAATTTGGAAGTATTTTAGCTATATCTCTGACAGTGAGGGCAAGCCTACGGACACCACGAGGCCTGTCTGTAAGACATTTATTAATTTTATTTAATACGAATTCTTGTCATTTATTTTATTTATTGTTCTCATTGTTTAAAAGTTTGTGTTATGGTTCTGGTGTGAAATAAAGCACAATAATTACATTTAAGACCGTTTCCCTTTTTTTAAGAAAAGTATCGAAAAAGAATCGGAATCGCAATTCTTGACTTGGTATCAAAACCAAAATGTTGGTATCGTGACAACACTAGCTACTCCTGACAGTTAAACCTGATATTTAGTAGGTCTGTTAAGTATTGAATGCTGATAATTCTGACGTAATTTGGCTGGTCAAAGTTGTTTGGGCTCGGATAAAATCGCTCCGTTACTTTCGTCCCGTGTTATGTATGTTGTGTATGTGTGGTGTCAGTATGAGAGGATGACAGCGCGTATAATTTTGATGTGGCCCAAGAGCCAATCACAATAATACCTGCGATGCAGTGAACCAATCACCTTTGAGGGGGGGAAAACCTATCGTTGATTAAACATTATCCAGTGTTTCCCCTACCATTGTCTTGGAGGGGCGCTGCGCCCCGCCAACGGAGCCCCGCGCCCCCCCCTGAAATTCAAGGTGTTTAAAAAATATATATATATAATTTTATTTTTAAATATATATATAGCACCAAATTGCAAATAATCTATAACTACTGTCACTTTTCACATTGAACATGTGCTCTTTTATTAAATAAACTAAACGCTTTCATTTTAAGTTGTGAGTTTAGTGTTTTTGACCCTAAGAAACACTGATGCATTAATCAATAACAATAATCCACAGCTCCTCTCTCTGCTCCAGAGGATTTAAAAAATATATATCCCAATGCCACAAAAATGCATCAGTGACGTGGTTGAAATCTTGTCTCCAGAAAACAAAAAACGGAAACAAGCGGTATCAGTGACTGTGTGTTTGATGTGGCTCTTTGCAGTAACATAGAAAAAATGTGGCTCTTAACCTCTGACTGGTTGGCCACCCCTGCTCTAGACCAACAATTTTTTGGAGCTGGAAGTGAACCGGATTCCGGAGCTAAGAGCCGGCGCGCTGCGGTGTGAACAGGAAAAAACGGCGCTTTTCAGGCTCCAGCTCCGAACCGGAGCTGAAAAAGCACTGGTGTGAAAGGGGCATAAGTGAAATGTCTTAGAAGTGTGGCCACATGTTATCTCTAAAAGTTGGAGATGTATGGAGGTACAAGTGATATTTAGATACGTTTGATATCATTTGTAATTGTTTCATTGTAAGAATAAAGTTCTTCTCTTTTCACATGTACCCTTATTTCTTCATTGCACTACTCTGTTCTTCTTTGTTTCTCATTCGCTCTGGGGTTGTAAAGAGTTTTTCACAGCATCGAAGAGATTGTTCTATCATGGTCATCTCATTAAAAGACTAATTGTGCGCTTTTATTAAAAAGGGAATTTAACTACTCACTTGCTACAATATTTATATAATTTGTGTTATAAATAAAGTACCCTTATAATCTATATTCCATCCATGTAAGCTTAAAAAGTGGTGATTTGGCACAAAATCTACACATGCACCTGCTTGCTGACTGAACATAAAACAGTGCATTTCACCATATACTGGGAAAATACATATAACTTACTGAGCATATAAATGGTCTCGGGACAGCAACAAAGTAGAAAATGCTGCAGGAGTGGCTTGAGACGTTATCTGAATTAAATTAAGAACTATCGTCCCTTGAAACTAGTCACTCTTGTAATCCAGTTGAACCGACTTTGACTGAGGAATTGTTCTATTGGGGCTATAACGGTGTTGTAATACTTTTTCTCTCTCTCTTCACAGTAACATCAAATGGAATTTCTCAAAGGTAATTTGTTAATGCAGTTAGCACTATTTATTTTTAAAATGCATCTTCAATGATCCTCAACTACATTAAAAATACACGTGCTTATCCTTTGATATCTTACCCCTTAACAGTTTCTGATAAACAAAGAAGGACAAGTGGTGAAGAGATACGGGCCGACAGATGATCCCAGTGTAAGTGGCAGTCACTGCTTTTCAAAACGTTTGTATTTTAATGTAGTTTTAATATATTTCCAAAGGAACCATATAAACATTTGAATTTAAGGTTATTCAAATGTCGTCTTTTTTTTAAGAACTTGAATAAAGTTATTTATAGCTGCATGAGAAATATCCAAATAAAACACGGTTTAATCTAATGCAAAGTGTAACAGTGGGACCAATTTCTTGCATTTGCCATTCATTTGATTGATAGTTATTTGTATTTTAGATCTTACATATATGCTTGAAGAAGACTGGAAAAAGGATGGAAAAAGGGAATGTTATTTAGCATTTGAAGTGAATGTATATATTTCCATGGGGCCATTCCCCATTTGCCCTCTTGGTTATAGTAAAGGTCTACTTATTTCTCTTTGCAGGTGGTGGAGAAGGACCTGCCAACGTACCTGTAATACTACTGTCTCCTCTTTGTTTGTTTGTCTCCTGACCTCTCCCATGGTCTTTGGGGTATTGGTGTGTGTGTGTCTGGACCAGTGACGGCCTGTCTGTAAACCCAACATTGGGGAGGGCAGGCCTGATGATCAAAAGCGTGCAACTAACCCCCAGAACACACCCCCACCAGACCCAAAGGACCATATGAAAGGACATTCACTAGCTTTGTAAAGTAGAGACCCTTCACCTCTTGCTCCATATTCAGCCATTCCCTGTTCCAATGCAAACACCAACTAGTCCTTTGTCAATGTTAAGTTACAAGTATGTCAGTTTTATGTCAGGACAACAGACGCCATATATAGTGTTTTTACACAACTCTCTGGAGAGCTACTGATATTATTTACACTTAACTTGCCGAAGGGCCCATTATTGTATCTGTAACTCATGACTAATTATGTGATGAAGCTGGAAAATAAATGCTGTCCAGGACATTCATTTCTCAATTGAAAAATGAATGTTTACCTGCTTACCTACTGGATTTGTCAATGGTATGTTTATTATATAACTATGAATAGCTTTCATCTCATGTGACTCCAAATCAATGCAGCATCGTATTACTACAATGGACAAGTAGATTTGAATTTTTCTTCACCTTCTATTTCATGTGAAGATCTTAATTTTGTTTACATTTAATGTTCTTGGTTCTCTCTTCCTTATTGGACTTTATTCTACCTTTTTTGGATAAATATATATATTTATATTTCTTTATAATTGGGAGAATGTGTTATTTCCAAATGATGTGCCCTTAATAAGTATGGACACCTTTATTTTTGATTGGATTTGAGCTTCTTCCATTTTATATAAATATCTTTATGGACAAATCTGCAGGCTTTAATAGAAAGGTCTCAATTATTTGTAAAGTAGCTTCCATGTTATGTGACCTTATTACTCTAATTGCAGGATTGCATTGCTACATTGGACACACCTCATTGTATGAATATTGTTATGAAAGTTCTGCATTTTTAAAAAATAGTTTCCAAGTCATGGAAACCATTTATTTTCTCCAAATCATTGCAGCAATATACTGTGGGAAATATAAAAAAAGACTTAATTTTCATAGAAATAAATGGTAGAATCCCTAAAATCCAATAAAAGTAGGGGTGTTGGAGACCTGGAGACTGGAGATCAGTGTAGCAATATCACTGGGTGACACCTTATACAGTCTATGGGTGACACACATAGTACAGGAGATATTGAAAAAAAGGAAAGATTTCTATTCAAATATTTTTGTTTAATCAAAAAGGACGAATACATTGTTTTTTAACATCATTTTAACTAAGGGCGAAGTGGCATGTTAGCACCAAGGGATTGAAAACTACTTTCGTTTTGTGTCATTTGAATTTATTTATTGACGGTCCCTAAATTAAAGCCTGTGGTTAAGATTAAGAGCGAGGGCTTGGATATTAACCTACTAACGTCCTCTTACTGTTGACAGTTTGTGAAACTAAATAGGAAGCCCGGAGTGAATATATGTAAAATGTCCAACCTAATACCAACATCACGCGGTGGACTTTTTTAATGTTTTCATGACTGTTTTCGTCATGTTATTATCTCGAAGCGGAAATAAGATTCCTTCTGGAGACTGTCCCAATAACAATTACAATGAAATACATGTCGTCTTTTCCCCATAAGCATCACAATAGTCGACGTTAGATTATACCTCCACAATGATGGTTTGTTTTGGCAGCTTAGTAAAATGATGCTGTGGCGTATCAGCGTAAGAATGACGCACAGTGGCGATGATCAGCACCGCTGGTTCTGAACGCTGCGCGTCTATACACAGCGACAGATACACACGCGTAGAGTTATGTAATTATAGCGGTACATATCGAAGAAGGTGGAATGATAGAATATCTCCATTACTTCGAAGCGCAAACCGCCTCATCTTGTTCTCGTTGAGGAAGGATACGGCTGAGGGTCGTCGCCAGGAACCGTCCGGGAGATGGACGGGAGGACTGCGGAAACCGGGGATGACGGGAGGACGAGTGAGGAAGCGGCCGCTGGCCTCTGTCTGCAGCTTGACCTGGGGGACACCGGTATGAATGTTCATCCATGAGGAGTCTTTTATTGTCGATTAAATAATGCAGTAATCCCGGGGGTCCTATTCAAACCCAGCTACCCGCCGTGACAGAAATTGGTCATAAGTGGGTAGTAGCATCCCACCATTTAATATCTGGATGTAGCTAATATGGGTTTAACATGATAGAGAAACATATTTTTGTTACAAAAACAGATCACTGACATTTTATTTAGAGCAACATAAACTGTACATGAATAATAAAGTGCTTGCTTGGATAACAGTGTCAAGATTCAAGTCACTGCTGTTCTGATGCAAATGGCCCATAGTGTCAGTGGCTCACTGCAGCCTGGCACAAACACAAAGTGCTCATTAGAAATATCTACACCCAACTGCTAAACCTGAAGAAGACCATCTGAAATTTTACCTGAATGAGTATTGAGCTATTCACACACACACACACACACACACACACACACACACACACACACACACACACACACACACACACACACACACACACACATACATGCACAATAGTCATTAGTGCAGCATTAGCAGGAGATAGCTTTTTATGATACATGCACACAATGTCATATTGCTCTACTCAACCTCTGTCTGTCGTCATAATTCAGTCAATCCCTCACTTCCTCTTCCTAGCTACATCTGAAGAGTGCTTTAATCTGATATAGAATTATAACATAAACCACACACTAATCCCTTGTGGTATCAATTTGAAGCATCACTGTGCATGTAATGACTGCAAATACGACACAACATGCATTACAGTTTTATTTTTATTTTAGTATTTTTTGCAAATGTTAATGAAGGAAAATAGATGTGATCCTCATCAGTTTAGCAGGTCCAACAAGTTGTCTTTGCATGTGCCTCATGTATAACATTGGATGTTTGTGCACACATGATTATTATTAAATCCACCAGATTATACTTGTGTGCAGAGAGCCTCTGGGCAGAAAAATCTGTGTTGAGTGTCACATTAATGTTAAAGCAACTGGCCGCCACAGCTGATAAGGGAGATATCTAATCCTCTTTACAATGACACATGACACATGACACACACACACACACACACACACACACACACACACACACACACACACACACACACACACACACACACACACACACACACACACACACACACACACACACACACACACCACACACACACACACACACACACACTCACACACACACACATACTTCCCTGACACAAATGTTTCATTACAGGAATATCTAAATAAACTTTCAGTAATTCTGTTTTAACACCGGTCGTTCTAAAACACAGTCCTAAAGGAAGCCTGTGTCTCACATAGTAATCGAAGATGCTACAATGTGCTTGTCCTGTTTGTTGCTTGCGGCTCAGTGGCACATTACTCTGGCCTGACCCTAATCCCGCAGAGACTCTTTGTGTGCGCGCCTGTCCCTGGATACTCCTTCTCATTGTTCTGCCTGACAGGCTTTGTTTCAGCGTTAATCTGCAGGTTACAGGTGTAGTAACCAGCCGCATGAAAATAAGAGAAATAATTAAATCAGTAAAATATGGAGAGCCACTTTCTTTTGTAGGTAAAGTTGCACGCTGATATTTTTTTATTGTCGTGACTCTTGTCCACTTTTTCTGCAACCTCTTTTAAAGTTCCATGCCCAAAAACGAATGAAATGTAGTAAAACATTTACAGTGCGTAGACGATAAATTGAAATGACATCATTACGATCATTTCTCCCTCGATATTTCATCTAGCACCATCATTATCTCAAATGTGTTATGTGTCCAATGAAAACTAAGGACCCTCCCATCAGCCTCAGCTGCTCTTTGTCTTTAGCTCTAGTTAGTAACAGTAGCATGCTAACGTGCTAAAATATGACGGTGCACATGGTTAGCTGCTATCAGCATGTTAGCATTGAAATTGTTAAACATTTTTAGACGATTGCTATGTTTTCCATACATTACATGTCATTTGTTAGACGCTTTTATCCAAAGCGACTAACATACATTCAGTAGCCTACTGTGGACAATCCCCACAGGAGCAATCTGGGGTGAAGTGTCTTGCCCAGGGACACAACGACATGCTGACTTCAGTGGGACTCGAACTTGCTATCCCCTGATTCAAAGTACATCATACTATCCACTGAGCCACAGCCATAGTTATACTATTTAGTAGGTCAGAAAATACATTTAGTTTGTTAATGCAAAGCATGCCTTTTAAGTGTACGTAACTTAGTTTACATAAGTTTACATAACTTAAAAGGTTTGTGTCAGCTGTACTTCTCAAAATTAATTGAAGCACACTTAGAATACACAAGTTGTTCATACTCACCATTCTAAGTTAAAGTAACTTCCTTATTGTGAGGCAACGAGTTTGCATACTTTTTCTAAGTTACCACAATTTATTAAGTTTTACAGTGTAGTCAATTAAATGTGGGTTGCCAAAAATACCAGCATGTCCTACTGCATCTGTTCTCATTTGGCAGTTTGCAAGCCAGCATGTTTATTTTGTGGCTATTTTGACCCACATTAATATGCACAGGGGATATAAGCAACTAGGTCAATGTTCAAAATGCAATGTTATGACAAAGTATGCCCCAAATGTGCGTATACTTCATGCATTTGGGACATGCATATTTTAACATAAGTTACAAGATAGCTGCATGGAATACATAGTAATAGTAACATGAACAGGTGATTTGAAAACCTGCCTTAGTACTAATGCAGCTGTTATTGTAAGACACCCAGCAGCAACAAGATATTATTTTATTATGTATTATACTGTATATGATCTACGATTGTGTCCTGTCATGCCTTAGTGATGACAAACTGTGCCTCAGTGTTTGTGCAGTACTTCAACATGGCTTAAAGATTCATTATCCTTTCTCAGTCAGCTGCACTTCCTTAATCTTCACCCTCACACAACCTGAACCTAAGCACAATACTGTTAAACCAAGTACTTTGTAGCACTGTGATACTACAATTGTGAACTGTCTCTTTTCCCATTCAATCCCTTCCTTCCTGCCACTTAGTTTCTCATAACATGTCACACATACAGTCATGTCAGAGGGAAAGATTCTTCTTAATTCTAATGCGTGATAGGCTAGCGTCATGATCTGGAGACCTTGGCCAATGGCAGTGCACAGATTAGAGAGGAAGTCAATCCAATTGAGTTTTTACTTTCTTGTTGCAAATCTCACAGGTCCAGGAATAGCAAACAGTGAGGGCACTCTGCCGGGTTCTGACTACTGGATGTCAGGTTTTGGTTTGGCCAGGAATATAGCTGCATGTATTTCTGGATTAGAGAACCATTTGTAACCTGTAGGCACTGCACTTCACTGCTGGTGAGTTGACCACGGATTTATTATGGAGACATTTTGTATAAAGGATTCAAAACCAGCTTTAAGTCGTATCTGGTACAAAATTGTATCGTGGATTTTTCCAATTAAATAAACAATAAGAGAACATTTGCTGGGGGTTGTGGGTAAAATTACCTCACAAAATGTTTTCCTGCGTCATGGAATTATATATGTTCAAATGTTCCCTTTACTGGGCACTTGAAGATATTTGGATGATCATATACAGTACAGTATAGATACATTCAATGTAGTTGATTGCATATTATAAATGTATTAGGGTATTTACCTACAATTTCTACTGTTTGTCTTGATGTTGGAGGATATTCCTTTAAAGAGAACGGTCTAAGGTATGGGTTCAATCAATGTCAAGTTAATAAAAAACGTGTTAGGGGTGGATGTATGCCTTGAGTTAATTGTTCTGATTGTTGTGTAAGTCATTAAGTTCTTATGATGGCCTAGATGTGTCTGGCTAACAATCACCAAACCCAGTGTGAGTCTGATGCCAAAGTTGCCATTCCATTACAATGCTTTCACGCAATCACGCTAAATATTGTACCATTGAGACACACTCAACCAATTATTGCTTCTCTTTGTCTCTGTCCACAGATTCAGCCAAGAAGGCTCAGATATCAGAGGTGAGAGGCTTCTACACAATATGCACCTGTCTGTCTCACCTCTTGCTTTTTTCTACTTTTCTACTTCTTTCTTGTGTATTGTTTTGCTGCATGGTTCAATTCCACACATCCGAATGGACAATACAATAAATGAACTACCTAGGCTACAGTGTCACATTTCCATTTCCTTTCCTTGTGACAGATGCCATCCCCATTTGGAGTTGGCCCAGGCCATGAGAAAAAGATAGGCCACAGGAGGGTAGATGCTTCTGGAGAAACAACATACAAGAAGGTAGGCTTTCTCTCTTCATCAGTATTTGTTTTAATCTTTTGTCTGCGTGTAGGTTTGGCGTCACGATTTTTATCAACCACGTTCCACCCACATCTTACTCTGTTGTTCTTTTCTCTGTTCTCCGCCCCCAGACTACCTCCTCCGCCTTGCAAGGGTCCATCCAGCTGGGTATCGGATACACTGTAGGCAACCTCAGCTCCAAGCCTGAGAGAGATGTGCTGATGCAGGACTTTTATGTGGTGGAAAGCATCTTCTTCCCCAGGTGCGATAGAATGAGAGGTGTGTTTATGTGCATGTGTGTGGCAAGTATTCAATATAACCTTTTATCTTCTTTCACTCTTCCAATTTGGTTCCATCCTGCTTCATACAGAGAAGGCAGTAACCTCACTCCTGCTCACCACTACCCAGACTTCAGGTTTAAGAACTACGCCCCTGTGGCCTTCCGCTACTTCCGAGAGCTGTTCGGGATCCGGCCAGATGACTACCTGGTGAGATATTTATTTTCTCTAATGCATCGGCAGTATGTTAATGTATTAAAGGTGGGGTATGTACTTTATTTCAGAAACACTTTTTGTTATATTCCATGGAATGCTCTTAACATCCCGATAGCAATGAATATATGAAATGCTTTGACAATAAATACATAAAAAAATGTCATCTGTGGAAGCCGTAGCGCTGTAAAAAGCACGACCAATCATTTTAGCCGGCCCGGCTAAAATAACTGGATGCCTGTCAGCCTTCCATCTCGTGCCTTCATTGGTCATGTGTGCGTTTGTGTGTGTTGGAGGAGGGGCTCTGTAAGGAAGTCTGAAGGAAGAGGCAGATTTTTTCCAGTCGTTTACTTTCAAATTCTTGCGCACTCGAGCTGGTTTCTCCAAAATTACATACCCCACCTTTAAGTGTTGTGCACGGGAAATCTCTCCCATAGAGCATCAGTAGTGAAGTGAATGAGTGCATCGTTTTTAGCCTTTAGACACCTAAATAATGATCATATTAATTAAATACACCGCTGTTCATAATAATAATAATAATAATGATAGTACCCTATAGTAGGACTAGAGCCAAACTGAAACAGTGTTGGTGGCTATTATATATTTCCAACAGACATCTTTTTTAATTCCATTGTCTATTAACAAAAAAATTACAATATAGTTAAATGTTTTTATTTTTTGCGCATTTAAATATACAAGACAAATATGTACATTATACTGGAGTCAAATACACTGTTTAATTCCCAATTGTATGTAGCAAAGTCGTAATACAAATAACATTATAGCTGACCTAATATAGACTTATGAAGTTCTCTCCGAAAGCATTTTATTTATGTTGAGCGGAATAAGGAAAGATCACACAGCAGGGTGCTACCACTCAGAAAATTAACCACTCACTAAAAACCAATACGTGTCTACACCCACACACAAAATAACAAAATAAAGTGGCACATGCCTTCAAGTACAGTGTTTAGCAAATGAGGATGCACACACACAAACACACATGGGCTGCACGCCTAAGCTCACGTTCTACCTGTGCCAGAGGAAGATTAACAGACTAAAGCTTCTTTTTTTAAACTCCATGTAGTAGCTGCAGTCAGAGTCTGCGTGTGTTGGAGGAGTGGAGTATCAGCATAATTGCATTCTGTTGCCTAAGCTTTTAAAATGTTATAGCTTTGTCCAATTCATTTCTTACTTTGTGTTGATAATGTTTTTTACTATTATAGTCTTAATTGCTCCAAATGATTGTAAGGTGGTCAGCGTAAATGTAAAACCATTTATGCTATTGCAGCTACATATGCATTTTAAAAGGGGTTTCCCTCAATTCCCTCACGGCAGTGGCTCAGTCAGTAGGGGCTTGGACTGGGAGCTGTAGGGTCACCGGTTCAAGTCCCCGACCACACCTACAATATGGAGTGTGGACTTCTACTTGGAGAGGCCCCAGTTCACCTCCTGCTAATTTCACTGTGTGCTGTGTGCTCTGCATGTGTGACCATTACAGAGGGTGTCATCCCTCCCAATTCTATCCTTAACATAATAACTGATTGTGTTCATGGTATTCAGGAGCAGCCAGAAGTGAGTCACTGTAGCTTTTGGTTTGCTATTTTAAAAGCTCTATTGGATCCAACATTAAAACTACTCTGCAAACATGCAGTACCCATGGTGTGTTAAAGAGAGGATGAAATAACAAACTCTAAAAAAAAAATGTCAAGACCCTTATCAGATTGACCATCTGTTCTTTCAAACGTAAGAGTAAGCTTCTTAATTAATCAAGTCTGCTTTCATGGCTTTTGTATGTTGAAGCAGATTGTGGGTAAGATTGTCAGGCTTCGATATTTTCATTGATGTTTATATTTAATATGCATTTGTTCCTCTTTGTCTGTCTGTTGTCTAGTATTCTATATGTAATGAGCCACTGATCGAGTTGACCAACCCAGGAGCGAGTGGCTCCATATTCTACGTGACCCGCGATGACGAGTTCATCATCAAAACTGTTCAGCACAAAGAGGCAGAATTTCTACAGAAACTACTTCCTGGTTACTATATGGTAAGTCAGACCAACCCCTTCCTCCATCAGAGCGAACTGAATACCCTTATCCAAATTGTAAATCAATAGTTTTAACATGTGTGTTATATTTACATATTACGTTGTGTTGTACTATTCAGTTTGTAGTATTGACTTATTTGTATCACTAAACACTTGGCCTATTGAAACTTGTATGCTAATATTTAGTATAACAAATTCAACTAGCAAAAAAGATACTGGGAAATTGAAACCTTGCCAATGGTTTTGTAATTGTGTTTATATGTGTTTGGGTGTTTGTGTACACTGTGTATGTTCAGGAGCACACCTGAGACTAGTCATCTTTATCCTCTTTATCCTACCCCCATACGACAGCGTCAGAAGGTGACTTTGTAAAAGATGTAAGCTAAGAGGTTGTACCTGACAGAGACCTCGGCTTAGCACTCCTTAACGGTTTAAGCATGTAACCATTGGAGATAAAAAAAAAAACGGAAACGACTGTCTGGCATTTGCATGGTACTGGGACTGAAACGCACGACATGCATTATTCATTTAGTTTCCCCTGTCTCTTTTCCTCTGAATTCCCTCTCCAGAACTTGAACCAGAACCCCCGGACTTTGCTGCCAAAGTTTTTTGGCCTCTACTGCGTCCAGTGTGGGGGCAAGAACATCCGAGTTGTTGTCATGAACAATATTTTACCGCGCTCTGTACGCATGCACCTCAAGTTTGATTTGAAAGGCTCCACATACAAGAGGCGAGCATCCAAGAAGGAAAGAGAGAAGTCAAAACCCACTTTCAAAGACCTGGACTTTCTGAAGGACGTTCCTGAAGGCCTCACCATGGACCATGAAACATACAGCGCTCTGGTCAAAACTCTGCAGAGAGACTGCCTGGTGAGAAATAAGAGAGGAGGAAGGATGTAGAAGTGTTTTAAAAGTAGATTAACACCATGTATTTCTTTTAATTTAATATAAGCAGCACAACCAAACATATTTGGAATTAAGCTGAGTCTGGAATTTTTACTATGTTGCAAACCAATGTATTTAACAAAGGTCATCAATTACCTTGGTAGATGCTAAAAACTATTGAAATATCACATATAATAATAATAACACTTTATTTAAATAGCACTTTTCATACAACACATGCAGCTCAAAGTGCTTTACAAAATTACACATCACAAGTTAAAAATACACAACAAGAAATTCCCCTCAGATTATTTGTTAAGAACTTTACAGACCTGTACATGCAGCAAAATATAACATATTTCTCAGGTTAATAGACACAAGGAGGAATAAACAAATAAAATACACAATGGTTTCTCTCTGACAGATAAGACACAAGACAACTGAATCGATGCAACAATATAAAATATATAATGTGTTTTTTTTATCAGGTTCTGGAAAGTTTCAAGATTATGGACTACAGTTTACTGCTTGGGATCCACAACAAGACACAAGCAGAGCGAGAGCGTGAATCTCAGGGCTCGCCCACAGGGGGAGGGGACGAGAAGAGGCGGGCGGCTCAGAAGGCTCTGTACTCCACCGCCATGGAGTCCATCCAGGGGGGCTCCACATGCAGGGACACACTGGACCATGATGACACGTAAGCCACCATTCAATAATGTGTGCCCTTATCATGATATTACGTTTGGAAATTATAATAATGTTCTCCTCTCTGTCTGCAGTATGGGTGGTATTCCAGCTGTGGGTAGTAAAGGAGAGCGGCTCCTGCTGTTCATCGGAATCATTGACATCCTGCAGTCCTACAGGTAGGACAACTACAAAACCTTTAGAAAAGCAATACATCCAACTGCAATCAGTTAGGGCAGAGACATGGCCGGAATAAAACCACTAGACTCTGGGACAGTTTTATCCCACAGGCCATACAACTGCTAAACACCTGAGCTCTGTTAAGTGCCTCGATAAACATTCATCTGTTTGTCATCTTGCATTTTACTTATTATCTAAATAGTTATCACCACAATAAACCGTATTTAATGTTGTCTTAATGTAAATTGTTTAATTTCACATTCTGTTCTTGTATATATATCATATTCTATTTACATGTATATAGACTACTTGCACTTGTTTTTTATTTGTATTTGTATTGTTGTATTTTATTATATATGTTGATTTGTCATTTCAAACAGTTTTTCATCAAACTATTCTTAAATGACAACAAAAATTATCTGGCTTCAGGAAATGATTACCTCTAGGTTGGCAGGTTTATTTATGTGTCTGCAAGGAATATATAAAGATGGAGAGAGATCACAAGGAAAAGCAATCCCAGACTTGTCAAACCGTTTTTAATCAAACACTAAAATAGGACTTTCATAAAAGCTATTATCAGTACAAGTGTGAGTAATCCAGTCCCTTAAAACAGCTCCTAAAATTCACATAAACATTTCAAGTGGCACTGTAGCCTCTGATTCAGGGTTGCCAGGTAACTGCAGTAAGTCAGGGCATGAGTCTAACTAAATAATTCAATTGTCTTGTCTGACAGAGTGATCAAGAAACTGGAGCACTCTTGGAAGTCCCTCATCCATGACGGGGTGAGAAGCTTTTCACAACAGTGCACATTTTTTATTTTTGGTTCTTTTTGTCCCTTTTTTCTGTCACCTTTAATGGCGTTATGTATTAAAAGTGCAACATCCTTAAAGTTCCATCTGTTTTTCACAGGATACAGTGTCAGTTCACAGACCTAGCTTCTATGCTGAGAGGTTCTACAGATTCTGCAGCACCATCGTCTTCAAGAAGAGCAGCTGTGAGTTTTTAAACGTGCATGAGCCATGTTATGTCGGATGACAATGATACCAATGAGAGTACATGTATCCTATCCACTGCATTCACAGCATTGCGATCGTCTCCCTCGAAGAGAGGACGAGGGGCTTTCTCCATGTCCAAGTCCAGCGGGGGAACAGGTTCAACTGGGCAGCGTCCCTCACTGACCGATGAGAGGCAGGAAAACCTGGACAACTTGGAAAACCTGCGAGGGGCGCGCAGCTTCCCCATGCTGGAGGACAACGGTAGTTTCACTTATATTAATAGTCCACAATGATACGATACGATATAACATTAAAGGTGGGGTAGGTAATTTTGGAGAAACCAGCTCGAGTGAGCTAGAATTTGAAAATACACAGCCGGAAGAAATCTGCCACTTCCTTACAGAGCCCCTCCTCCAACACACATGAACGCGCACACGACCAATGAGGGCACGAGATAAGTTTGTGCACAGATGGAAGGCTGACAGGCAGGTAGGCCATCCAGTTATTTTAGCCGGGCCGGCTAAAATGATTGGTCGTGCTTTTTACAGCACTACGGCTTCCACAGATGACTTTTTTTAATGGATTTTTGTCAAAGCACTTAAGATATTCATTGCTATCGGGATGTTAAGAGCATTCCATGGAATATAACAAAGAGTGTATCTTGAGCCGGTTTCTGAAACTTACCTACCCCACCTTTAATGGTCAGATCAAGTCTGAAATTTGACTTGCATCACAGCAGCTCCATTTGTAACATCAACATGGACACATATCAAGACACAATACGTGAACAAAAAAAACAACATTTAACATAACATCACTATCACTGAGAGAAAACATTCTCAAAGACCCTTTAGTGTGCATTTGATCCGGGAATTAGCTACTGTACTGGTGCACAAATAAGTGCTTCAGACCTGACATGCTGCACACATGTTTATTAAAGACTTTTTATTCCAAGTAAAAATAGGATGCTTAATACCAAAGACTGAAACCTAGTATATAGACTATTTGACTATGTGGCAGTGCCTTGATGAGTGTTTATGGAGGCCTCATTTATCTGATCTCATCTCAATGCTGCTAGAGTAAAATACTGTGGTAGAAAATAAAGTGTGAACTTGTGAGTGTCAGTTATTCAGTATTACTAAGTCTTTCTGAACTTGGCACACCATTAGTTTCAATTGTTTGCATCTGAGTGCTCCATTTACTCTTTAAATGAACACAAGTGAGCCTTTATTGATCCATGTGGAGAAATTAAGTGAAGGAGCAGTATAGTTGCAATATTCAAAGAAAGTGAAACTTTTAACAAATCAATAGTACATTTGATTGAATAACTGATATCAAATACAGTGTTAGTGCAGTCCACTGTACAACAGTACAATAGGATTGTACTGAAATGAAGATGTAAAGAACTCTACTGTACAAGCACCCGCATATATTTAATGTAATGTTGTCTAATCTTGTTAGAGCAATTACACTCCATATTGTTTTTGTAGTATATTTTCCTCTCTCGCATATATTAAATTATGTCTATTTGTATTCCTTTGTTATTATGCACATCAGGGAGAGAGCCCCCCTGCACCCCCCCTTCCTTTGAAGATGCTACCACAGCCTCCATCGCCACCACGCTCTCCTCTAACAACTCCTTACCCACAACCCCCTTCGACACACCAGAGCACCCACGCTCCTGGAGACAACTGCATTCCCCAAGTGTGGCAAGGTGAGAACCATTTCATGAATATGCAAGTTTTAAAAATCGTATTTGAATATGGTTTACTGTGTGTCTTTATATTCTGATACACCGTACATCCTAGGTACGGTCTAACTGTTTTGTTTTCTTCTGAGTAAAATGATCTGTAATTATCTGAGTGGCAGCCATGATAAAAGCTGGTATTCTCTAAATGCTAAGGAACGGCGTTTTAATTCTTCCTTTCTTGTCTCCTTGGAGTAACGCACCATTTGGCTGCATTTAAATAGCCTGTCTGTGTTTAATTGTACATTACAGGTAAATGAAAAACCTTCTTCCTTTAAGAAGTGGTAATTATTTTGGACAGGAATCTATGCTTGAATTGCATTTCAGCTTTGAGTTTGTCAGCATACTCATTTAGTTTTGTCATTTTTGCAAAAATGTAAATACATCCGCCGTTGAATAATTACATAGCCTATTGAAAGTAAGATCCTATTTTCTACAATAAAACTTTTGAACAACTGAATTAAATGATTCTTTCTTCTAAGCCATCAACATGTATTTTAGAACCGATTCCAACTAAGCTGTTAAAATACGTTTTTATTATATAATATATTATATAATTAATATGTCTTTATTATCAGGCTATGTACCACACTCCTTTAAAGTAGCTGTGATAAAACCTCTACTTAAAAAGCACAACTTCGATCCAGAGGTTTTAGCAAACTATTTATAATCTTACATTCCTCTCAGAAAGCCTTGAGAAAGCAGTCGCAAAACAGTTGTGTGATTACCTGAAAAACAATTATCTATTTGAAGATTTTACCATAACCATGTATCTACCTGTGTACTTCCAGGGTGCAGAGAGAAGTAGTCGAGGTTCATGAAGAAAAGCAGGACACCATCACAGTGGCGGTGGAGCTCAGGTACACAATATATACAGTGGAGGAGATAAGTATTTGATCCCTTGCCGATTTTGTAAGGGGATCAGATACTTATTTCCCTCAGTTAAATGCAAATCAATTTGTATATTTTATATAATGTCAATTTCTGGATTTACCTTTTGATATTCTTACTCACACTGTTAAAATAAACCTACCATTACAATGATAGACTGTTAATTTATTTGTAAGGGGGCCAACTAATAAAATCTGCAAGGCATCAAATACTTATTTCCTCCGCTGTACAGCAACGTGATATTACTACATTGTCCATAGCTCCTTGCTGAGGAGTCTCTTAACACAGTTTCTTGTCTTCATACAGTAAAATCCCAAAGAGCACAGAGCTGACACAGATGACGGAAAAGTCCTCGCCCAGTGTGTCACCTGATCCTCAGCTCCACGCCATTACTCCCTCCACCACTCCCTCTATTACACCATCCTCCACCCTTCCTCCTCCCTGTGTGTCACCCTCCTCCTCCGCTGCTCAGTCAGAGGAGCAGTCATCCTCCACCCTCTCTTCCTCCATCTGTCCGTCCACCAAACCGCTCACCTCTCCCTCCGCCGCCGCTCAGCCTTCCTCCCTCTCTTCTCCAACTTCTCATCCGACGATGCAATCCACTCTCCTCACCTCGGCACCAGACACCTCCGCCCCCCCACCTGGCTCAGCCTTTACTCCCATCTGCCCCGAATCCTCCCACTCCCCCACAGAGAGCCCCCCCTCACCCGCTCCCCTCGACCCCCCCCCACCCACTCTCCTCGACCCCCCCTCACCCGCTCCCCTCCCACCCTCCGAGCCCCCAGGTGCCTCAGCAGGCGCCACTGCGTACACCGTCCAATCAGCTGTCTGTGTCCAGCAGCCACAACTCATTGGATGGGGAGTTGCAAGTGTCCGACATCTACTTTGTAAGTCCCCCTTTTCATGTGCGTTTTTTGTATTTTAAAACAAAAACAAAAAAAATGTGCTGGAACTGCCATTAGTCTTGAAAAGAGACAAAATAAGACATACAGCTATTTTGAAGAGGCTCGCTGTGCATGATGGAATACATAATTAACTGGCCATAGCATTTCATCAGTACACATTTTATTAACCGGTCATCACACTGGAGAAAACCCTTTCCGTTTTGTTTTGTCTGCTCTCTTCCGGAGAGTTAAGATCATTTTCCTTCTCCTGTTTTTCTACGATGTGCTGGGTCTCTCGCAGTGGCTCAGTCAGGACAGCGTGATAGAATTATGATGGTGAGGGGGGGGGGGGCTGTGTGTGTTACCCTGTGCACGTACTATGGAGTTGTTTACACTGTCAAAAATAATCGTATTTCTCTAAGCACGAGGCTGTCATAGTTCATGCTTTTGAATGTATCAGCAAAACACTGGGGTTGTCTTTACCGTACAGCATGATGTATTGATATCTGTCCATCTGCATTCAGAGTCATGAACAGCTCTCCATAATGCTCCATCTTTCCTTTCTGACATTATAGTATTCACTATTTTCAACTTTCATTACTTGATCATAAGTCCTTCTTTCATCTCTCATCTTTCTCTCTTGTTGTGTGATATCATTCATTCACTTCCCTTGATTTTCCTGTGCACACTTTTGTGTTTTCATCTGCGTTTGTGTCCATCCATCCACCCATCAGTATGCAGATGGCAGATATTGGGTGTACTCTCCAGTTCTTGGCCGTCGTAAGCTAAACTCTAGCTCAAGTTACAATGTAAGTCACCACCAAAGTAGTTCGAGTAATTTGTTCCATTGCATTGCTGCTTCCATTGGGACACAAGCACAGCTGCCTATGGATTTTCAGAAGGACTTTAAAGTAAAGCCACAGTGCATTTCACATTACTTATTTAGTGTTGAATCTGCAAAAAGGACGTAGCATTTTAATAACCTCGGCTTCTGAAGGGCCATCATCTGCATTTAAATGGAGCATGCATCTTTATGTAATGTTAAAGGCTATGTTTGAAGATCTTGCAAGACCTGCAGTAAATTTACTGTAGTTAGCTTGAATTCACATTCTAATTTAAGTGATTCCTCACACTCCTTCCCTGTAGCACTGAGATAGTAGGAGGTCCTGACATGATGATAAGTCCTTTCACTGCTTTGCTAGAATGTTTGGCAAATAAGATGCTGATTGAAAAAATATGATTTGGTGTTTTTTAAAGTGACTTTGCTCGAATATTAGCCAGAAGATCCAGATCAGATCATCCCTGATAATTGAGACCCTTTAGATTTTCCTCAGCAAAGTTCTAAAGAGAAGCAGACTGACCCAGAGCAAAAGTGTGCATGTTTGGTTACCCAAACATGCAAAATGGTACAGAATGTCTTTATAAATATATCTTTCTCCAGCTTCCTGCTAATTTTCTCTTCTTGTCTCCTCTCTGCTGTCCTCTGCTGGCTGTGTTGGATAGCAGCAGACTCAGGAGGACCGGGGCTGGGTGTACTCTCCTCTGCACTACGGCTCTGAGTCCAGGAGGGACTCAGAAGGGGAGAGTGAGACAGTAAGTGTGCAGCTAATTAATTATATACCATTAACCCCAGGAAAATAGATTAGTTAATGGGGTACCACTTTACAACAAGACCCTTATAAAGGATTCATAAAGGGTTTATAATTAGGTTATGAATTCTGTTGTAAACACTTTATTAATCATTAAGAACCATTTATAAACCAGTTCTAACATAGTTTTCATGCATCAACACAGGCTCACTATTGATGACTAAGCCTTATATTGGCTACTTAGCGAGAATCAACTCAGTGAGCAATAGAAACCAAGGATGCTGGCTGATGAAGAAGACGAAGTAAGCTAAGTATACAGCCAATATAAGGCTTAGCAGTACAGATACATGTGTGCTCACTATTTGGCAAGCAACCGGTCACAGTTGCCCTGTTTATCTCTTGTCTTATAAAAGCTTATTAATGATTTATAAAGTGTTCACAACCTAATTAATAAATGAATTACAAACATGATTACAAACTATTCGTAAACCCTTTATAAGGGTAGTCTTATTGTAAAGTGGTACCGTTAATGGTCACCTATTATGCAAAATGCACTTTTTGATATATTTTATACATACATATGTGTCTCGCACTCCAAGTGTCAGAAAACAAAACCCTCTCTTTTTTCCTCCGTACCCAAATCTCTAAAAACGGGGGTACAACGGAGCTGATCCAGATTTGCGTCCGATATGACGAAATATCGGAAATGTGGACCCACGGCCCTATCAGAAACGTTGTTATCAGAAACAATGCCCGACGTGTTTTGGACGTAATATGGTCTTTGTTTACATTAGCAAGCATCGCTAACACTCAGAGCTAACGTGTACTGGAGAGAGTAGGCCTATGTGTAAAAAAGCAGGAAATAAAAAAAGGAACTCACCTTGTGGTAAACCTGTGAGAGAAAAAGCATTTGAGCTCCATACTGTTTCAGAAATAATCCATGCAGTGGTTTGGAGCATGATATGGCATTTAAGCACGGCAGTATTTAGCTGAGTATCTCGTACAATTCTGAGCAGGCACAAGCTCCCCCTCCTCTTTTTTTGGGTTTTCAAGCTAAGGACCCCGAATCAGCAGTTCTCTAACAGGCCTGAAATAGAGGAATATGAGGGATGTCTAAAATGCATGATCTGTTTGGTATTTTGAGCAAAACACATCATAGACATATATCTGAGACCCATAATATATGCCTAAAAATAGCATAATAGGAGACCTTTATTATAAGTATTTTTTGTTTTCCTGTTAGGGCTTTTCTTATTCCTCGTCTGTTTCTTCATCTGTGTCTCTGTTCTTTCAGTAACTCGGTGGAGACAGCAGTGATGGGTGGAGCCAAAGCCTCCATATACTGAAGCTTTGAGCTTTTAATAACAAAGCCACCAGGACGCTATGGGAATGAATGCTGTTCGCCCCTACTGCATGTGGAGCTAGCCATGCCAACAGGGAATTCAAAAGAAAAACAATATAATAATCATGCTTACACTTGCATACATTTAAACAAACATAAAACAATAAATATATTATGCAAAAAAAATAAAACAATATAACTCCTGGACAATCTAGCTGTCATCAAGCAGAGAAATACAGTTGCGTCACAATCAGCTGAGTGCCGCTGTGAGAGGTGGCTGTTAATCAGGTGTTGCTCTGCTTCCTGCTGTGGACGCTTATAGCGTCTGTGAGTCACGCGGCACTGTGCCAGCTCTGGCTATGCAAAATGGGCATACTTGTTATTGATTTCTCCCTTAGACTGATGCATCAGAGTTTATTCATGCATTTATTTTTCACTAGGGTCATGTCAAAGCTGTATATACATTTTATTTGAGCACTTTATCAATATACACGTGGCTGAAATCGTTTTATGTTTCGTTTTTTTGTCATCAGTCATTGTTGCAACACTTAAACACAGTAAATGTTTTGTGTGCTGTGTGCACAGGGTTCTGTTCGTCCAGCGGTGCGTGTTGGTCACTTAAGAAACTCTGATCTGACAATTAATGGTTGTGCTCAAAATGCCTTATTGACAAACTCATTTTCATAACGTTTTTTTTATATTTCGGGCTCATGTAATTATTCAAAAACAACTTTCAAAATAAAAATATGCAAAGTTTTCATTTACACCTTTTTAAGGATTTGAAATCCATTGTTCAAGAAATACCACAAGAAAAGAAAATGTATCAAATTATATTTTATAAATTGTAGATAAACTTTGTGTGTGCTGAAGCACATGTATTAGAGTCTGTATGTGCCCTTATGTCTCTGTATGCATGTGTTTGCATGCATATTGATGTGTGATTGGGAGTTCTTTGTCCTGCCTATTTGTCAAAAAGTGTTAAAAGTTGTAACTTCCATTTGTTGTTATGGCCATGAATGTCGGAACCAGCTATATGCATGTTGGCTGTGTAAGATAATAAGATAATAGATAATAGAGAACAGATATAACCTCAGATGTATATACAGTTTGGTCATAAAATAAATCCATTGTTGCCACAGTCACTCTTCCATACATTAAGATTCAAGATTGACCAAAATGAAACTTCTGACTGGACGAGCACTGCTGTAACATATTACTGTGTTGTTAAGTCTGAAGTGTACCTGCCTGTATAGGCATCAGTGTTTGTAGCTGATCACTGTGTAAAAGAATAATAAAAAATGATATTGTGTAAAACATATGTAATTCGTTTTTGTTGGATTTTTATATTTTTGTGTATTATACAGACTCACAGCTGAAAATGAGAAAAATATTTAGCTCTGAAATGTAATATGTGTTATTGGTCCACTAGATGGCACCACATGTCTCAGACAAAAACAGCCTGTTGTGGTTTGAATTCCGACAGTTTTGTTCTTCTTGAAAATGCAATAGGCCTACTCTTTAAAAAGGGTTCTTACGCAGTAAGGAAATGTGCAGAATGGTTACGTTTTGGTAATTTCCTTGATTACTAAAAGACAAAAAAGGACAAGACTATGGAAAAATATGTGTGTTTCATGACTGTTGAATACTTTGAGTACTGTGTTAAAAGTTCAGAATGTATAACAAATATGAATCGTTTAATCAAGTTGACACACTGAAATGTGTTGTACTGTTCAAGCATTACAGCTTGAACAATTTGGCAACAAAATAGCATACATAGTCCAAGTAACACGTTTAGAGTTTGATTAAAACCATTTCAGTCAGACAACTCACGTGTTTCTTTAACATGTTTATTAGAAGCAGCATATAGTTGAGTTTGGCATCTAGGCTCGGGCATCATCACTCCATAGATATACATAGCACGATGAGTGATGATTAAATAACTAACCCCCGAGCCTACAGGTGGAAGCTGTGGAAGCTGTGGAAGCTGGGGTGGTGGTGGGGCAGGCAAGCAGTAGCGACGTAGAGGTAGCTGGAGCAATAGCAGCAGCAAGCAATGCATGGAGAGAGATCTGGCAGGTTCAATAGAGCGGCATATCAAGGAGACTCTGTTTGGTTGGTTGTAGAGTGGCAAGGGGGCGTTATGTATGAATGCAGCATAAGTGCTCGAGTTGACTGCCTGAACTAGCTCGCAGGCTTCGCCCCATTTATTTACTTACATCTAGCTATAAGTAAAGCATGGTTTGGTCTGAATAAAGAAGAATACAATGCATACAATGTATGGAATTTGTATGGCAATAAGTATGGAAAATGTGTACGAACCATGATCAATATACGCCCAAAGACACATTTCAAAATATCAGCTGTTTTTTGGTCACAATACTTGGTGACGTGTTCCTGATTGACCAAAGTATGGAAGCTCATATTTATAGTCTCATATCTCAACCTCCACATTACGCTGACATTTATACAGACATAACAATGAGAAATCGTCTGGCATTTTATTTATCTGCATAGGCTTTGCTGCTAAAAATACATTGGAATAAAACAGACGAGGATCAATATGGCTTTCACTGAAACAGCCCTTTGGGATGTGAGCTGGCTATCTGTGGTGGTATGGACTCTCTCCACACACACACACACACACACACACACACACACACACACACACACACACACACACACACACACACACACACACACACACACACACACACACACACACACACAGTACAAGTAAAACAGAAGGGAAATTAGAACAATTAAGTTCAAGTAAGACATACCATGATGTTGTCCACCCAAGTATACACTACAGCGAGTGCAGTGTGTGTTAACCATATTCCTCTGCGTGTGCAGGTACAGGTACACATGCAGTGCTGTGTGCATGCATGTGTGTGCTTTATGTGTAAGCCCTAGTTGGGAATGTCACTCAGGGGGACAAGTCAGCCATGTCGGGCCGTGATGGAATGTGTGATGGACAAGGATCAGCAGCCACCTGGCCAATTGTCCTGGAAGGAAATTGTGCCTCTCCTCTTTTTGTCCTTCTGCCTTTGAAAAACAAAAATATCCCTTTTGCTCCTCCTCAGTTCCCCAGGCCTGACATTCAGACAGGAGGGTTCAACAGTCCAAGTGCAAGTGATTGCGGTCAAACAAACATTAAAGGATATGGCTGATCATATTCTAAACCATTTCGTGTCTTTAACCAATCCCATGTTTCTTTTTGTTTGTCACAAACGGATCCCTATAACAGATGCATTTGAATCCAGAATCTGTAGAAATGGGACAAGATTTTGGAATCTAAAGCATTTTATTTGTAGTCAAAAGAGTATTGACACATTTTGAATTGAATGTATACTAGGTAAAAAGTGTCAAAAGCAAAAGGGGCGTAACACAATGCAAAAATGCAAAAATGCAATGATTGAACCAATTGGCTGTTGGCTACTGCTGAAAATAGTCCCCAAAAATACTCTATCAACTCATATTTTGAGTAACATTTGCCAAATCTCAGTGCCCTGCTGTTAGTAGGATATTATTTAGCCTTTTATTCCAAGACCACAGGCTGAGAAAGTGGTTTTCATTAGATCTGTTTGAAATAACAAAAATGATGTTAATCTTCATCATCATCAGCTTTATTCTCTAAGCACTATTGTGGCATTAGGCACAGTCCATGTTTGCATGTTCTCGCAGCGTTCACTTGAGGCTGCTCTGGTTTCCTCCCAAACCTTCATCTCAGATTGAAGAGATATGAATGTCTTTTTGATGACTCTGCTCCTCCCCCTGCTTTCTGCCAAGTGCAAGCTGGAATAGGCCTCAGACACCTGTGACTTTGAACATTGTCATTATCATATAAAAGCAAAGAAAAAAGCCTATCATAAAGAAGAATTGTAGAAGAAAACATATTAGATATATATAAACATTTAAAGTTTTCATCTAAAAAACATTTCTTAAGGTAAACCATGGAGCGGCGGCATCTGTACCTGGGGTGAAATGACACGTCGCAAAACTCCGCTTTCATCTGCAGGACACATAAACAAATGCCTTTGTTCTTTCAAAGGAGAGAGGGGCCGAAAGCCACAACAAACAGGCTGAGTGTCCTGTGTGTGTGTGTGTGTGTGTGTGTGTGTGTGTGTGTGTGTGTGTGTGTGTGTGTGTGTGTGTGTGTGTGTGTGTGTGTGTGTGTGTGTGTGTGTGTGTGTGTGTGTGTGTGTCTGTGTGTGTGTGTGTGTGTGTGTGTGTGTGTGTGTGTGTGTGTGTGTGTGTGTGTGTGTGTGTGTGAAAAGAAGAGACGGGGAAGAGGAGAGAGAGAGAGGGAGAGAGAGAGAGCAGAAAGAGATCAAAGCAGGGGGTATGTTTTTGAATCTCTGTGTGGGAGGTGAAGCCTCACCTACCCAGAATGCCTTGCCTCGCTCCTTCCAGCCCACTCAGGGTTTTAGGAGCATCACTTATCTTTGCAGCGAGCGTATGCTATCCCTCCATCAATCATCTCCCCTTTTTTTTCAATAGGAGAACTGCGACTTGGTGTGAAGAAGCAGTCGACCTCTGATCGGTGATAAATAACCTGCTTCTCCCACGCACAAGACAACATGTGCATTTCAAGCAGAAGACAGAGCAGAGAGTCTGCAACATCTCCAACAGAGCCTTGGTTGCATTTCACAGCAACCGAGGCTCTTCTACTAAACAGAATCAGAGCCCATCCCCCCTCTCATGAAGGGATCGAAGTGTCTCTTTTTAACTCAGCGTGAGAATCTACAAACAGATGTCTGTCTGCACACAGTGATCACCGTGCCCTCTCACACACACATGGAAAGCCATAAAGGTCTCTGTGTTGCGTCGTCAGTGTCTTAAGGCAGTGTTTATCTTTGGCAGGCTGAAGAAAACAAAGCCATTGATTTCTAATCCTAATCCCCCTCTACTGCTTCGCTCCTATTGATCATCTATCCATCCTTAATGAGATGGAGGGGTAGAGGTATGGAGGGCTGATGAAGGACAACACTTTGGCTGCTGGTGGTGTGCCACCGTCTTTCACCTCAACCCATCTCTTTTCAATCAGTCTCCCTGGCTTGTGGGGCTTTCACAGACCTGACACTCTTTAAGCTGGAATGGTAAATAAATGCAGCAATGGTGCTTTTGTAGAGGTTTATCAAACCTTGAGGCTTGCAGAGCTCTGGAGGTTTGCTGAAAAAAAATTGAAATTGGATGACAGGGATGAATGCACTAAACAGTACACACAGAAGCACATGCATGCATACACAGTGTGGATCGAGTTTCAGTCCAAACACCAGTTATAGTATTTCTAGCAATGTCTCTATGTCAGTGATGTTCTCTGATAAAGACATCTTTCGCAATTCGCTCTTACTGCCACTTTCACATGATTATGTCTGCTCTCTCTTTCTGTCTGCTTCAGTGGAGATGGTTCGATGGTCATGTCGAAGGAACTCAGTTTCCCTTAGATGAGTAAATTATCTTCTTCCCTACTAACTTTCATTGATTTATCAATGCCTATTATTGGCTTATTATGCTACTCTTCATTCCTGCTGAGAGCTATTTTTCTGTATTCATCGTATTGTATGTTCTTTGTGCTCTTTAAGATTTAGCAAAAACTACAATTTTCAGCAATGAACTTACTCATATGTTTGGTATACGATTCAAATGTACATCTTTATTAAGGACATCTTGACTGCACACACTTTCTGGCACAGCCTTTCAACCAATTCCTAAGCAATCACACATTTTTAAGGCAGTGAATAGTGAATGTTTGACCCTCTGTGATCCTCTGTCATTCTGATGCTGTGACCACAGCAGGATTTGAAAGGAGGAAAGAAATGTCAACACACCATGTCTTTTTGTAGGTAATATCATTCTATGGACCTGCTCAACCCGAAACTGGACATACACAATGTCAAACACTGAACTAGATTGTGAGGAAAGGTCTGCAACACCTGCTGCTGATGTTGGAGATCTTTCGATGGTATTTGTTTTGTTTGTGCACAGACTTGTAGGATTAATGTTAATCACAGTGGTATTCCCTTTTGGGATCATGGGTAAACAATGAATCTGATGTGGGAGGTCCACCAGACACACCCCACATTCCTCAGGATTCACCTCTGAGAGCAAGTTTCACGGACATCCTGGACTTACTGTGAGGTACCGTCACACGCAAATGCAAACAAGAGATGAAACAAGAGAACAATCCAAGCGTAGGAGCGCGGTCCAGAAGACGCAGCATTGCTTTGCTTGCAGAACTTTTGGAAAATTGGATGATTTTGGGGATATATGCATGTCACTGCAAAAAATGGCACCCTGGGGATGTTTTTCCCTAAG